TTCTGTACAGCTCTACATGGGAGGGCGGACGGTGCTTTTTATACGGACGTGCGGCTGAGCCGAAAAAAAAAATAGTTACTCGAAATAAACCCCCGTAGTATTACATAATGAACAAATCACGGTACATCGTCTCGATCGTGTTTGAGTCGCACATACAATTCTGACAGTTAACTATTTTGCAGCAAAGCAAAACGGGAACGGAGGCAGGCGGCAAGACACGTTCGATTGTTGAGCTACGTTGTGCCTAAAGTAAATCTCAAAAACATAACTAAAAAATCCAGGTTCTGGATGGGTCCGTCTGTGTGCTCGTTTGGTAAGAATAGGATAGCATGGACTACACCAGATATCTATTAGACAGACAGCAGCAAAAATTAGTTATTGTCACTTACTTCTAGCGTATTGCCGTCAGTTGCAAGTTATTGACGATTATCATTTGTCACATGAGGTACTACTTTATAGGTGCTACAAATGGAGTATGTCCTAGCTAGTTAAGTTGATGTATGCATTGGGGTTTAGTGTGGTTAGCGATATTCCGAGGACGCGCTCACTGTCCTGTTGCCCTTTACCAGTGTCGTCTGCTCCCGCCGCGTCTCGCCACGCGTCGTTTCATGTCGCTTGCCAGAAGCCACAGGTAGGGCTGTCTGAATTCGCTAAACATCTATATATAGATAGATAGATGCCTTGTATAGACTCTTGCCAGAGCCCCAAGTACGATCGTGGTTAAGCTTACAAGCCTCCGTCCGCCAACAAGGTCCCGTAGGTGACTTCGCTTTTTTCGTGGTTTTTGCCGCCTTCACACTATCATTACTCTACTATTATTACCACTACCTTAGCACATCGTCTGCTAGCTATACAGCACACATCATCATTATATCCGTCCTACATTTATCGTGCTATTATTCTCGCAATAGCTATACTACTAACCCTCCCCTAATAGTTTCGTCATATTTTACTTTATATCTATGTACTTCTTGGGTATATATATAATTATGTATATTTCCTTATAGCCACACTCCGAGAAGCTGCTTGCATTGGCTTCTCTAGTTGCGATCCGCTCCATTTCCTCCACTGTTTCTTACTAATTTGTTAGATATATATATTTTGCTGTACTTGTCAATATTAAATAATATTTTTGTAGGTCATTCGTCTTCATCTTGTTAGAATTATTAATGATATTATGATTAGAATTCATTAAAAACACTTTGTACAGGCTCATGGATATAAGGGAGGATACAATAGTAATAGGGATTAGTACTCGCGCATCGAGGGAGCTCAGCTTGGCGATTACTATTTGTTTTGCATTATGATACATACGACACGGTATATCAAGGCCTTTATGTACGAGTTCCATACTTATGTATATTTATGTATAGACATATGTATGTATGTATCCAAAATGTCCACCCGGCTCCATTAGCGGCCCGCGTAATGTAGGAATATATATATATATATATATATATATATTTTCGTCAATGTTTTAGAAAATTTCCTCGTTATCATCTTTACACTTGTGTTGCTATGCCCCGCTTTCCATTTCGGTGTTCCCCCTTCAACTATTTTTTTTCCTTTGAAGAGCGGCAGAAATAAGCTTCATGTCGCGCATTCTACGCGCCCGGATGAACGCATTTGTCGTGTGACGTTTTTGTCAACCTCTGGAGTTCGTGCATTCGTCTAATTAAATCGAATATTATGGTCATTTATGAAGTCAGTCAACATCATTCAGGATCACATACGAACCGAACGGCATAGCTACGAATTAGGGTTCAACCGCTAAACTTCACGCCCCCTTTTCGTCCCCCTAAAAGTGTTCCGCGGCAAACATTTACGCCTAATGCTTTTGCTCAAGTAATTTATTGATTCAGTTTTATTATCGCTCTAGGCCTTTGCGAAATCGCTCGCTGTCCTGACAAATTTATACAAGTTGTCCTATTTGTCAGCTGCTAGCTCACTCATAACACCAACTCACTGACGCGGACATATCGTTACAACACGCATGTAGTATTATATATAAATACACTAGCAATTCACACAATCTGTACCAACGATCATCGTAAATATGAGTTGAAAGGTTCACGCTACTTAGCTTCGACTAAATACATTTTATCACCCTGAATGACTCTGCACTATAAATAATGATCTTTGTCACGCTACCAGCATCGTACTAGAATCGTTATCGTACCTATCATGCATTCCTAGTCCTCTACTTTATGCGCGCGTATGTTTGAACCAATCAAATTGCGTAATAGATGCTATTATTAGTACACTGTCATGATGTGGCAAATCAGGGTTTTATGAATACAAAACAAAGCAAGTTTAATGTACACACAACTTTGCGTCTATCTACTTTTTACATGTAGACGCCAAACACGTTGTTCCCGGCGACCGTCTTCGATTCTCTAGCATGTCGCAATAGAAAATTGTGTAACATTCGGAAGGAAACTGTCGTCGTACAAATTATCATCCCATCGTATTCGTATCGATCAAACATCACTCAGATAGTTGGGTTTGCCGTTGCTACTACGGGGAACATATTGCAGCCCATAATAGCAACCGCATGATACGCAACAGAAGTAGCAATCATAGGCTTAATAGTAATTAAAATAGACAGAGAGTGCCTGTTTCCCATCATCATTCGATTCTGCGTCATCCACTTATTTTTTTGTTTACAAATTGCCTCCAAATCACATTTTCTCCTTCTGGTTCATTCATTCATTCATTCATTCGTTCGTTCGTTCGTTCGTTCGTTCGTTCGACGCTAAGGCTTCTATGCTAGCTTTGCCACGCAAACCTTCTGTTTCTCCTCCAGCAGAAAGGAGCGTCAATGGCTTCGTCAACTGACTCAGTGTCTCTGTATACCTACCGGTACGATACGCACATCTTTCCCTCTTTATATATATATATATATATATATGCACCGCAGCAGGCATAGTTATGCTATCATTATCCATACAAGTCCATCCTAAATTCATACCTAGCTATGATGTCCGCCCTCCGTCCCACAGTTACTTATATATCACATGGAGATGTTTCGAACGAGGGCCTCACTACTTTCGCCAGCTAAGATAACATGCCGACTTGTCATGTTTGAAATACGTGAATATTTCCTTGGTATACGGCATTTCGGCAGCAATCACATGGGTGTCTTATTGTTTTCTCATGATGAACGTCGACAAGGCTTCTCCCTAAGTGACATGATTGATAGAGAGGCCATCTGGAGTCATAGATCTTTCACACGTCCACCAGCTATGTAATGCAGGCCCAGCAGTCCAACCCGAACATGCCAACTTTACATAGTACTCGGGTACAAAGCACTGCTTGGGTGACTCTCATCAGCAACGAATTTTCTTTTCATTCTGAGAGCGTAAGCAAGGGATCATTTTAGAGCGCATTTCCTTCACTCTACTGTCGACATCAAATATCGCTTTTGCATCATCACCGCCATCGCGCCTATCATGATAATCGTATCATCCAGGTACACAAGATATAATATTACACATCGCGGCAGCATTTAGATCGCTTGCGCGTTTTTGCCCCTACTGGGTTAGAAGTTACCACAAAATGGGGCAGCAGAATGTTGACGGGACCGCGGTAATAGATGTAGGTGCACTTTCGTCATTATTTTTCAGCTCTGGATCTGTTATTTGTGTTCATCGTTACTTCATCATTTTCTAGATGCTTATATATTAATTGTTTGTGCCAAAAATGTACAGATTGATTATAATTATTACTTTTGTTATTCTTACTATTAATATCATTATTATCGTTATCGTAGAGGCTTATCGCTGGCCGATGGAATCATCGAGGAGAGTGTTTTGTGCATTGGATGGGACGCACCTGGGCCACCAGCAGGTATTAGTGGAGGGGGAGGCACCCCTGGATGGGTGGGTACACCACCGGCCATAGCCAATCCCATCGCCGACATCGGCCCGCCAGGAATTGAAGGTCCTACTGAACCGCCTTTGCCGCGTAAGCTTGTTAAGCCAGCCGATGGTGGCCCGCCATGGCCCAGAGGGCCTAAGCTAGACAGATAGGGGTGTCCTGGTGGTGGGGCATGTCCGGCGGGACTTGGGCCACCAAGAAAGCCTGGAGGAGCTCCAGGTAAGCCTGCCGCTGCTTGCGCCCCCAGCAATTTGTTTCGTTCAATGTGCTCGCTAAAATTACGTTCGTATGAAAGCTGTTTCTCGAGCTCTTCATTGCTAGCAGGACCTAGGCGCATGCGGTCCGCCGGAGATAAGCCCGTAGTGCCTCCAGGAGGGACCATGGCAAACATAGCTCGATATCGTTCGCTTAGCATTGCGTCCGAGGCTATCATGCGCTGATACTCGGCTGGTGGCAAAGCAGAAGGATGCGCATGACCATGAGGCCACATCAAACCTGGCGTCGGTAATCCAGCCAACCCTGGTGGTGGTGCTGGCAAACCGTAAGGACCAACTCCTGAGGCGTGTCCTGTAGCTGCTTTATGTAGGCTTGCGGCGAAATCCTCGGGCGCACCTTTGCTTGCGCTAGACTTAAGGTCTGCGGCTGCTACCATGCCAGGCAGCTCTTCCTTGATATTCCGAGAACTGTCCCGATCACGTTCTCTAGAAGGTGCTTTTTCTGGATAGAGCGATGACTGTGCCGCGACTCCAGGCGGTGCAACGCTGGGCGCTCCGTTCTTGAGAGGTGTTCGATTTTGCATCGATCGGCCTGTGACGTCGCCGTTCCGTAGAATCCCATCCATTGAGTGTAACGTCTGAAGGTGTTGTTGCTGTTGCTGCTGCTGTTGCTGCTGCTGCTGTTGTTGGTGGTGGTGGTGGTGATGATGATGATGATGGTGTTGTTGCTGTTGTTGTTGTTGTTGTTGTTGCTGCTGCTGCTGCTGCTGCAACTGCTGCAGAAGTCGTTGTTCGCGTTCCCTCTGCTTAAGGCTTTCCTCGTGAACCTTTTTATGACTGTAACAACAAAATAATTTTACTAAAAATATCGCCTGTTTTGCTCATAACTGATCATTTCGTGACTTGGTGAGTATTAGAAGAATTAACACGCCGCGTAAACATGCCGCGTGTGTGCCAACTATCTTGAAGTTTGTTCTTTTCTTTGTCAACTTTCGAGATTGGCTTGACGGACACTGCTTTAGCAATAATAGG